TTTTTTTTTTTTTTTTCTGAAGTGATGTAGTATTTTACAAAAACAACAAAAAAACTGTTTTGGTCTAATCTATGTACACTTCATTTGCCTTAGTCATCATCTGATATTTTCAAGTTTTACTTCACTGTAAAAAGATGTGTGTACATAATGTTTTTTTTCCTTTTATCTTTTTCTTTTGATGTAGTATATGAAAAAGTGCAAAAAGTTCCAAACCTGTAAATGTTTGATTTGGACTACAAATTCAAGTTTTTTGCATGTTTTTATCTTTTCATGACAACAAAAATGAAAAATGTTGTTTCCCAAATTTATTTACAAAGTGAAAAAAAAAATAAATAAAAATCTGGGTGACATTAAATGTGTAGAAGTTAAGAGAGTTTTTTGTATAAAAGGTGAAAAAAAAAAACACATTGATAAAAGTTGAAAAGTAGTGATCCTGTCAGCACAACTGTTGAATTTGTACCAAAAAGGGGTGGGTGGGGTGGGGTGACATGCTAGGCACTAATTACTGAATCAGCTTTAAGACTGGAAAAAGGTTTTGGATTTAAACCTTGTGGATAACCATGTGTACTGGAAAACAAATTATACATCTCTGACCCCAACCATCCAAATAAAATGCTAATTTTGGAGCTAAAAACTGCCTCTTTATTTATTTGTTTTTACTCAAACTCAGCATTGTTGCAGAGGCTTAATTAGATTGAGAATTGTGCAATCTATCTCATAGGACAATAACGTTAAACAAAAAAAGTAGCTCATTGTACAATGTTTTACCAGAGGGGGAGAATAAATCATGTATACCCTTATTTATTTGTTTGCACACATTGTGTACAAGCAGAATGCTTTAGGCCCATACAAGTCCATGGATGATAAGTTGTGCGGCTTGCGGGCTAAGAAGTGAATAATAACAATAATGTTTTTCCTAAACCAAGCCAAGGTTAAAAGCTTATGGAAATGCCAAGTCCATCCAGCATCTGTCTGCTATCAGGGATTTGTACTCTAAAGCACTGTGGGTCAGATTGGACCTGACCTCAAAATAAAGAATTCCTCCAATAAAAAAAAAAAAAACACACATGTAGCTGTACTGCTGGGGCACGAGGAAGGATGAACACAAGAATGAGTGTGCATTGTGCGTGCCTCTGTACGCGGCGTTGATAGCAGCCGCGTACAGGTGACAATCTGTTCAGCCGCCACGTGCGCACTGAATTTGGGATTATGAAAGTCACAGGACGTCGGCCGCCCTTCCTTTCCCCCTCTCTCTCCTCCATTACAGCGGGGCCTTGGAGTTCACAGAGCCACCGCTTGCACCCAGTTGAATAGATGTGGACATGGCTTATTAATTCAACCAAATTAGACAAGAGTTTTGGTTTTGTAGTCCTCGCACAAAACCCAATGAATGTCTATTAGAGAATAACCAGTGAACCGTACCTGCCTTTTGTTTTTCAGCCGGTGTAATCAGTGTAGCTGCTCTGTGTTAATCAGTTCCACATCCTGTACCTCTTAAGAACACTGGTAGTTTTCATACATCCCTCCTGCATGAGGCTAAGAGTTATTCTTACAGAGTTGTTTTTAAATGACCTTGTCTGGTGCGTATCACTTATCTCAGAGTGTGCACGCACTCCATTTGCCAGAAGCAACATGAAATTTTTTCGTTGCCCGGTCGCATGAACAAACCGTCTGACCTCGAGGTGTTGTTTCAACTGCAACTGAGTCAGATTTGTTTTGTCAAATCACTTCCTTTAACTTTGAGGTTTTCAAAACCAGACGGCTGGTTTTAATACTTCCTTTTGTTTCTACTTACCTAACTGACGCGTTACACCGCTTAAACCTTTGCCTAACTACTTACTTTGCTTTGATCTTCGGGCAGGCACAGATGTGGTTAGTGACTCGACATATCAAAAGGGCTTTAACAGATCATTTTTATGGCTTAGATGTGCCCCAAAGTTAACAACTGCGCAGCCAGCAGGACATACTTTCACAGGAGCATTTTACAACATTAAAAGAATAGTCAGACGGTTTGGGGAATTAGCTTTTTTTGTTTTCTGGTGGAGAGTTAGGATAAGATCAATACCACCCTCATATCTTTCCATTAAATATAAGGTGTTTGTCAGCAGCCAGTTAGATTGGCTTAGCACAAAGACTGGAAATATTTGGAAACAGGTTCAGTCCGAAGACCATACCAAATTTATCTGCACCTCTAAAGCTCATGAATTAACACATCTTGTGTTATTTCACAGGAATTCATTGTCAGACTATTTATTATACGGGGGAAGAATTGCAATGTGATTTTTGTATGAATTTAACAAACAACATACATGTTAATGTTGTTATGGTACAGAGCCAAGATAGCTGTTTCACTCTGTTTACATACACCCAGCAAGCTAACAGTCTGCTGGCTCCATTTAAGACAGATTTGAGAACATCATTAATCCTTAATTAATACATTAATTAAATTAATCACATTTAAAGGACAGATCTAAGAATGGTATTGATCTTTTCATCTAATGTCTCAACCGGGAAGCAAATAAGCGTATTTTCCCTAAATGTCAAACTATTCCTTTAAATCATACACAAAAAATGAATATCTTTATAGTTGCAGCATAGTGCTACAGTGAACATTTGTCCAGTTCTTAATGCCGCCTCTTCCCCAGCTTTAACCCCTCTACAGACGCTCCCACCGTGCCATATTGTCATCTTGATGTTCAGATTGCTCCAACAGGTTCATCATATCCACCGAGCAGTTTCATTTTTTAACCCACAGCAGGGAAAAAAAAGAAAAAGAATTGATATTCCAGCACTGCACTTCAATTTCACAACATGGATTATCCCTGAAGGAAAGCTGGCAATCTAAAAGAGCCCAGGACATAAAGACACTACACAGCTCCTTCACTATCCACACCCCGAACACACAGTCCTGTACCATTTCTAGACGTAGTGTTAAAGACTGTTAAACAAAGCAAGGGGATGGTCTGCTTCAGTTAGAGTGATTCTCGACTATGAGAAATTAAAGGACAATGTATTATGAGGATGATAATCATTGACATTGACTGACTGAGGAGTAATTTGAATGACTATTGTGTGAGAAGCATATTTTCATCGTTTATTTGCCATATGGTCGAGCAAGGATGGTTGAAATAATTGCTCAAAATAGTATCTCATTTGCACATTTTAGCTAGCTGACAAATGGATAAAAATAGTAATGCGAGGGAAATTAAATATGCAGAAAATTATTTGCAAAGCTAATTAAGTTGGATTGGAATGACATTGGTTTCATCTGCCAGTTTATGCGAATGTCTTTGACGTACAAAATGCACTTTTTAAAAAAAAATAAAACGCTCACACCTCAGGAATACAAAACGACAAATAAATAATGAATATGCTATCATTTGTTGGCTGGCACTGTGGACTTTGTTGTTTTTCCTGGAGTGAATTCTGGCTCTCATGTGCACATTGCATTCCAGTGACTCCATATCTTTTCCCATTAGATACTGCAATATGTGCTGGGCACATCATTGTTTTAGTTTTTTATTCGAAATATTAACTCCAAATACGAGGAGGAGTTCAACATACAACCTTCGAGTACTCCCTAGATGTTCTCTTTGGAAAATGGCTGCAGATTGCTGTTCTTACAAGCACCCCAGGGCCTCTTTTATTGACTGTGAAACAATGCTTTCACCAACACCCCCTCACCATTGCAGATTTACAAGACAGCTATCCTCAGCTCCTTGGTGTGTGTGTGTGTGTGTGTGTGTGTGTGTGTGTGTGGATGGCTGAGCGAGTGTCACAGAGCCACCCAGCCTCTGTGGGGGAAGTGTCAGTAAACATGCAGAATACAGACTAGAATCCGATGCAAACCAGCTTCTAAGTTATGCTGCTGCTGACCTTTGGTGGACTTTGGGAAGATGGATGCTACCCGGGCTATCGATAGAAATTTCTGGCCTGCAGCAGCAAGAGCATATTTCTTATGGTTTCCAAGTCCCTGCATGCTACCTTCGAATGAATAAGTAAGCAGGCTGGATGACAGAGTGTGCACACGCAGGGCACTTGCAGTCTTTAATGTATTTGGGTATAGACCTAGTCACT